TTGTCTTTGATGGGGAGACGCATGATATAACAGCTAAAGCGTGAGTGAAACCCAACCTGTGCTGCGCGAGGATAGGTGGGGCGGGGCGGGGCGGGGCGGGGCATTTTCGGCGAGTTTTTTTTATTCCGGCCCGAAATAAAAATGGCCTTTTCGGCCGAAAATTTTCGGTGGCCGAAATTTCGGTGCACCCCTAGTAATTTAATAGCATTAAAATAGGGTTTAAGTGTAAAATGAGTTGAAAAAGAGTCTTACCCAGATTCCAACCACCATCACAAAGATAAAGTAGACAACAACCACAGCGATGTCAGCAGCATCCAAACTGAGACCTCTGCCTGAAGGTGTTGCAGTGGTCAACCCAGAGTAGCTGCTGCCTGCATCAAATAAGAATAAAATTTCTTTATGGTTGCATTACCTTTTCTTTTACAGACACACCATACCCATTGTGTAAAACAATAAATTAAAGCGCCAGATGAAATTTAAGCTCATGTAGCAAGCTAGCCAGCAGTCTATGATGCACAAATCTCGCCTTCCTGCATTTTTCACAAACAGGAGGAAATGAAGTGGAAAAGAACCTGATCCAGTAAAAAGACCTGTTTTGCACAACATAAACCCTAGACGACATCATATGCAGGATCAAGCTCTCACAACTTCACCTATCACAATTAAACAACTGTTTCATAGACATGAATGGAAGAATACACGCAACTCTGACCCCTTAAAGAAATGGGCCATCAGGAAGCCAACAGACACCTGGTGCAACGCATCACTCCTCAGCATGCCAGACCTACTATGGATCAACACTGCCCTCGTCCAGTTAAAAGTACAGTGTAAAGGCTCTATTCTATTATAAAGCCTCGTCCGGTTCTTTCAAACCAGGAACTCCGAGGGACGACTCAGACCACTTGAGTATATAAAAATATAACCGTGCTGGTTTATTCAAAGAGTCACAGGCAAGAATTAACACTTCAAGTCCCGAGATCTTCCAACCCCCAGGCTGCCCAAGCAGCCCGGAAGCAGAAAAGACCCAGAACCCAGAATTGCTATACAATATCATCACTTAGTTGGCTCGCCCCCTCCTCCACCGAAACGTCAACCGAGACGTCTCTCAGCTTTGCAGCTGGCTATAACGTTAGCCAAAACATGAGGAAAAGTCAAGGTGTGTGGCTGTTGTTTTCGTGGTGTGTATCTAAAACAATTGGACATAACCTTACACATTAAGACAAATATTAAGACTAGCATTACAGTTGACCCCAACAGTTCTTTGCCTGTAACCTTGACCTGCCTGCAGTCTGCACTGCAAGTACATTACTGAACAGTTAACAGCCTGAGCTAGTCAATCTGTCTCCACTAACATTTCTAATACAACAAATCTCTGAATATCTATCTAACTAGGAAATAACCTAACAAGTGGAACCTCGGTTTTCGTGATTAATCCATTCGAAAAAGTCTGACGAAAACCAAATTGTACAAAAACTGAAGCAATATTTCCCATAAGACATAATGTTAATTCAATTAATCCGTTCCAGACACCCAACAATATTAACAAAAAAATACATTTTATAGAGAATAACTATATTTTTACATACAGAAAACAATGAGAAAAATATAAATGACTAATGAAATGGATAAATGGACATTTAACATCACTTTTACCTTTATTGAAGATTCTTGTTGGCGTATGGAAGACAGCGAGGAGGGGAGAGGGAGGAGGAGAGGTTATTGTTTGGAAGGGGAATCCCCCCTCCATAAGGACTTCATGTATCAAGGCCCTATCTGGGGTTACTTCCCTTCACTCATTTCTTACAGGAAATGAGTGGCCGAGTCACGCGGGCAAGCGAATGAGTTTGGTACGGACTAATGACGCTGAACCGACCAATCAACTGTACGAAAACCGAGCGGATGTACAAAAACTGGGACAAAATTTTGACAAAAAAAGTCGTTGAAAACCGAATCGTACGAAAAGTAGGGCATACAAAAAACGAGGTTCCACTGTATATTAAATGTGTTGTTAAAATTATTACTGAATTTGCAATTGCCAAATGTTCCAAAATTGTGCTGTACTTCACTTGAATTTTTGCTTTAGGTGTCATTCTATTCTGAGACTGATATAAATTATTTTAAGTCTTGGAAAAAAAACAAAAAAACAGTAGTGGTGCAAATTATGAACACAGAATCATCTATTGCAGCTTCACTAGCTGCCAGTTAAATGAGATGTTCATCATCAGACAGCAATGACTGTGATTCAATAATAATTCAGTATCAAGGTGAAATATAACAAGCTGCATAAGAGATTGTACAGCTTATGTAGATAATTTTAGATATAGGCTTTTTGACTGTAACCTGAAAACTGTCAACTTAAGGGTTAGGGTTAAATAATCTTTATTAATGTGGATAATTTGATGCAAAAATGCAACACAGTGTGCTGCACAAAGCAAGATGCAAAATGTGTACTAGAAGTAGATGCACATCTAAAGAGACACAAAAGACATTGCAAATAAAATATTAGTTAACACAGAGTTATAGAAACTCTCTTTC